GAGTTTTTTTTTTTCAAATTAATTTATACGTAAATCATTAAATGGTTATAAAATGATACCTGACCAAAAGTTGCTACATGAACAGCGATGTTTTTCGTGATAGAAATATTAAAATTAAAAAGACTGATTAAGCTAACGTTCACATGCATGTATAATTGTGTTCCGTATAAGAATCCACTTAGAATACCAATATGCGATAAATCAATGGAACCTGTACATTGCATGCTTTCTGGTAACGTTGAGTTATTAGAAGCGCCAGTTAGTCTACGAACTGAACACAACCCGTCTCGGAAAAAATAGCTACGTCACGTGCATATTTATTCTTTGATCTATTGTAATCACGGGACAATTCTGTGACCCAACTGCGAGAACCTAATTACATTACAAGTTGAAAGTTCTCCAAGATAATTTGAAGCTAAAATCCATTTATTTGCCGAAAAAAGGTTAAAAAGTTGGGAGTATATTCTGAGCTGATGTCACTAGTACTTGAACGACAAACCATGTCATTATCGACTACGGAATCTTGGAATAAAACTGAGCAACTTACCATAGGAAAGTCTTCTTCTTTGTTCAAATAATTTGTTGCTACATATTTTTCTTGCCATTCCTTATAAATTCCATTGTCTTGTCTAATATGCATATCTATTGTTCTACGGATTAAATTCTTTCTGCCACCACAGTTCTCACACCAACATTGAATCTTACCAGACATAACTATACTGCATAAAACACCTTTATCAATGATAAATCGAAACTACTGAGCGAAACGCTTATTGACCATAGAACCTAAATACTTATAAGGGAGCAGACCAACAACAAAATTTTATAACATATCGGTAAAATTGAATGGTTTCAGAGCCAAGCCATGCTAAGCCAGGGTTATTTTAGTAATCAAAATAAATGCAACTTTTATGTTGTGAAAGTCGTCTTTTAACTACGATTATCATATTAGTCACTAATCTCCTCTTAATCTATATTCTCATACACATTAATTAAGGGCCCGTGTATACACGGTATTTTGAGCTATTCACCTTTTGTTCAGCCGATTGATATTTGGAATATAGGGTGGAGTCATAAATGTCCGTTATTACAGTATAGATTAATTATTTGATTGGTCGAATGCTATTGTTTTATTAATGCCCTCCTGTGGTCACCTGTCTGGGTGCCATATGAAACCATGTTTTTGAATATACATGTTCGTTATTACGATATGGATTAATTCTTTGATCGGTCGAATGCTATTGTTTTATTAATTCCCACCCCTGGTCACCTGTCTGGATGTCATACAAAATCATGCCTTTGAATGTACAGTTGAGTCATAAATGTCCCTTTTTATTAACATTAATTATTTGATTGGTCGAATACTATTGTTTTATTAATTCACACCTGTAGTTACCTGTCTAGGGTCCATCCGCTCATGCCTGTATAAAACAAGTGTTAAATATATATAAATCACTTCTAATCTGTGGTTAGTTAAAGACGTAATATTTTGCTTATCGTTGTGAACTTTGAACCTGGAGTATCTTCTATAATATCGAAATGGATCAACAGACCGGTACCAGTGGATGTACACCACCAAACCAAATAACACCTAATGTAAGACATCCGTTTTTTTCCCCAAATCTTTTACTTATAATTGACTGATTAGGTTATATTATATACCACACAGTGTAATTACAAATGAAGGGATGGGTCATTTGAGTTACTGATACAACCTCCGTAATAAATACGGATGAGATGCATTTTAGTGAAGTTTAGCTTTATTTATGGGTGAAAATTATTGACTAATTTACCAAATTTCAAACCCCCTTTTTATTTCATTATTTATTTCAATTTTTTGACTGAGAATTGATACTGGGATGGTGTGATATCGTGGACTTATATTTTTTTGTTTCATTTGATATAGATGTCATGGCCGTGGTTTTCTGTGCCGCAGCTGACCCCGATGTCACAACCTAATATACCCGAGTCTACTGTTCCCGTACAACAACCAAGCGTACCCGAGTCCACCGTGCCCGTGTTTACCCCACAACCAACCAGACCGGAAACATCAACCCAAGATTTTACTAGGTATCCTGTTGAAGACCTGATGGCTAATGGAAGACAAAATACGCGAACAGAGTCCCAGAAAGTCGCAAAAAATTATTTTAATGTGAGTAAAAGCTACAGGCTACCTGTTCATGCAAGGTCAAAGGGTGGGGTGGGTCCCCCAATTACATAATCTATGTAAAAATATTGAAATACGATACATACATCGATAAATTTTGGTCGTATCGATATATTTTATTTTTACTATTCCACTTTTGGCTAGACTGCCAATTACTATAATCTATGTAAAAATATTGAAATACGATACATACATCGATACATTTTGGTCGTATCGATATATTTTATTTTTACTATTCCACTTTTGGCTAGATTGGCATAAAATTATGGCTTTGCACTAAACAGTAAGTAGTGTATTAGTATTAGTAGTGTCCAAGGCCAAAGATATATTATGTTTTTATTGTCTATTTTTGACTAACGAGAGCGGTCAGCTCTTTATCTAATCCTAGCCAATGCCCAATATTTTACGATTTTCAGGCTACTGTTCGGGAAGCAGTTGATAATATCGCCTTAAATGCATAACGGACACACAAACCTATAGAAAGGTTGAGGAAATGGTAAGTCAGTTTCTTTTCGTATCAAACGGGATGGGGGGGGGGGCTGGTCCTGAAAATTCGCTCTGTAATAATAACTGAAATGATTTTTCTCGGCAAACAGCGGACGCGTACCAGCAGCCTACAGACTAGAAAGTCACCGTCTTATTCCGTGAACAAAACATCAACTAATACTTTCATATTCTTTCAGATTTTGAAGTACAACCCAAGTTTAAATGAAAAGGAAAACAACACTGCTGAACTGAAAATGATTAGGAAAACTGTTGGCGCGAGATTGAGATACCGTAGATTCACTGTCCGGTAAGAACGATTGATATACTTTGGAGGTGTGTGTGTGTGTGGGGGGGGGGCACTTTAATGGTGTATTTTCTTTTTGTATATCCCGTATCTAGACATTTTATTAAATATTCCCGTATATCTACTAAGCATTTTTTTTTTACTACGTCAACGAAATATTTTCTGTTTTTATATCCCGAATATCTAGGTCAACATTTCCTATTATTATATCCTATAGTCTACTGCAATGAATTATTGTCTTTTTAAAACGTTTTTAAAGGAAACATAATGGGCTGCTGGATGAGAAGGTCCAAGAAGAGGAAGAAGAAGCTACCGTGGAGGAGACAGTCCTAGAAGGGTAATGTGACTAATCAAAAATAGATACAAAATAATATTGCAGCTACAATATTGTTGTATTGTTATTCACGCCTTTGTGGTCGGGTGGGACACGTTTCCTCTGTAGGCGTCTTACCCGAGGTCCTGTCTATAGGTTGGCCTGTCGAGAAAGAACCCTTGATAGTTTGAATTCGAAATGAGAGTAGGTCGTAGCACTGCTGTCAGGACAGCATCGCTTCATTAGGTTGGTTAAATCTTATTTCATACATTCCAGAAGCCGTCGCCACCGATCATGTGACACGAAAGGGCTCATTTAAATCTTATAGTACCCCCACTTAAAAAGCTTTGAATTAGGAAAGTAAATTCTTATTAACCTAACTTTAATTCGCAGGACCACAGTAAGAATGATATTTAATGGAAAAGCAGTAGTGACGGGAAATGTTCAAGTGGGAAGCAGAACAACAATTAATGGTTAGTACAGATATGTGAAAGAGAATTGATGCATCAGGGTGTCTGTTTCTACACATGCGTTTGCACACTGTTCTAATAATCTCATTAGTGTCTTCAGTCGTAAAAATTTTATAGAATTATAGATTATAAACGTGCAATATATTTATACGTGTGGTTTATACAAAAAAAAAATTAAAAAATAACCGACCAAAATCCAATAATTCAAATGGTCTCTTTGATTAAAAATTTGCTTATTTGTAGATAAAGAACACTTTGTGCTTCTTGTTGGAAGAAAACATCCCAAGTCCATTGTAAATAGACAGACGATCACAGAGGCAATGAAATCACTGAGATGGGAAGAAGTAGGGGTATGTATTACTTACATGAGGCAAGGCTGATATATATATATATATATATGTGATACTCCACATAGAGCAAGATAAAAATCTAATATGTAATATCCAATGTTTCAGTCGGGAAGTTCGGTACACTGGCCCATAGAAGATCTTGCGACAAGGACCGCAAAGAGGTTTCAACCAAGACCCAGTAACACGTTAAGACCTTCATATCAGTTTTGTATATTCTAACCTCTTTTTCCCCCATGTCAGTATTGCGGCGTCTGGCATTGAACAATTCCTCCGGGTGGGACGAAAATTCGAGATAGTGTTAGTATTATATTAGCTATGTGTTAGTAGTATGTAACTTCCCGTATCGCATGACCGCCTTCATTAGCTCGACTGGTGTAGAAAAGTGGACGGCAAAATCCTATTTTCATTTCAGTTTGTCAATTTAATTTAACGTGCATTTTAGAGCATATTTAACAGTTAGCGACGATTGTGGGTCGATACACCAATGAAGCGTTACGACAGGTGTGTAATTAAATATCTGTCCATTTAGGTAGCAGCAAATGCATTATTTTTACACGTTGTTTATGAAAGATCTCTGACACAAATTCTGTCGACTTAATCAAGCGAATATATTATGTCATGTATGCAGACTTTAGATTTATTAACTTTTTTCTCCAGAAAAACACTGTAGATGTACTAGACATTGATGGCCTGGGGGATGTTGAAAATGAAGGAATAGAGGCGCTAGCCAGCGAACTTGGGGACATAGAAAAACTGCCAGAGGAAATGGTGAGCATCATTTTAATAATTTATTATAAACATACATGTTACAAATGTTGTTGACGGTGTATATGGGTTTAACGTCCCACATTTCAGCACCTACGGGGTTAATAAAAAACTTACTATAAAAAAAACAATGTTTTAAATTTCAGCCAATCCTTCCAGATCTATTTAACTGTGAATACGGTGATTCTGAAGAGGTATAGTTTTAATCATTTTAATTCAATACCAGTGCCACACAAATTCAATGCATACAAGCAGCGAATAAGTCTAGTTCAAAATCATTTAAACATATAAAAGCTGAGGATGGAAGTTCTTATCAAGAAAACAGTCCCGAGACTGAAACGGGTCCGCATTTTACGCAGCTCAACATAGGTGAAATGGTATAAACTAATTTCTACCGGACATTCATACATTGATTAACAATAATTATTGTTGTATTTTTCAGATTGCACAGAGTAGTGCAAAGAATTGCAAATCAGACTTTTTAAAAGAGGGAGTATGTACTTTTTTTTTCACAACGATCATTGCTTAATAGAATAGAACTGGTGCAATAGGTTTAATATGTTTCAAGAGGGTTGGCTCAGTTGTGCAGCAGGGATGGCTTCTGTTAGCTCCCATGGTGGGCGTGGGTGTGTCTTCATAGGCAATTATACCATATTTGACATTTCCAAACTCAACATAATGCCCGAATTATACCTAAATATCTTTATACAATCGTTATTTTTTAGATTTGGGTGGATAACAGCGATTATGTAGGGGTTTTTTGGAGCGAGGGACTCTACGTGGGACAGATACAAAAAGTTCTGAACGGTGGTCAGCGGCTGAAAATCAGATATATCACAAATCCAGATACAAGAGGGTTTTCACAATGGGTTCACCCAACAGACATTTCTATTACAAAAGATCTATATATATTAGGGTTAGCAAACGTGTTGCATGTTGAAGGAGATGATTTCTGCATAGAAAACTGGAAAATGTTGCAACAACAAAATGAACTCTACCAGAAAGAATACTGTAATTAGATATAGTGCTATAATTTGTGTTTTAGAAATGTGTTATAATATAAACCTGTTTGTTATGATGCAATAAATATATAAACCTGTGTCATGTGCTGTATATATATAAACGAGTAATAGTTTTCTGGTGTTGTGTTTTTTGGATGATTACACAAATATTACGTAACATCATTGAAGCCTATTTCCTGCTTGAAGCCAATCATAACCCTGTCCGAAAATAGGCGACAGCTTGTCTATAGAGTTCGAGAGTCTCGCGAGATTATCGTGCTCCCATTGTGAGGGTTGGCTTCCTAACATGTGTACAGATGGAAGCCTACGTTAATTCATTTGTGGTTTAAAAAAGATATATTACCTGACATATGATTTACCGATTTCCAATTGTATACTTACCTGGGACGTGATTTACCGATTTTGGATGTATTTGTCAAGGGTGGAATGCTAATTTCATAGAATAATGGCATGTGATTTACCGATTTCCAATTGAATAGTTACCTGGGACGTGATTTACCGATTTTAGATGTATTTGTCAATGGTGGAATACTAATTTCATAGGATAATGGATAATAAATAATACTACGACCACGATAAGTCGATCATCTATGAGTGAATTTTTTATATTCCCCTTGTTTATTCGTACTTCACATGTAAATAATCGTAACCAAAATGAACCGATCGGCTAAACGGCTCGCGGGAAATTAAAAGGTTTATCTAATAGTTCAACGCCATAGAAAAAGTAGCCCTGTGTTGATTTCTCAATGTATCTCAAAAAAGTAAACGACTCGTCTAATAAGTAAAGCCCGTAGATAAGTAAACCGTGTTTGGATTTCTCAACGTATCACGGGAAACTATACGGGTCGTCTAATAAGTAAAGGCCGTACATAAGTCAACGGATCATCCATTTCTAAACGCCTCTCGGAGAAACTAAACCCGTTAGCATTAAACTAAGCGATAGTACTAACTAAACGATTTATGTAATTCTTAAACGATTTTTATCAATTATCGAACGATGTTTTGAAAGTAACCCCCCCCCCCCCGCATACTTTCCAGCGCTAAAAACCCCGTTCTAAACGATACCAAATCCCTAGTGCATGTCCATGTTACATACATCCCCACATTCACTCTCTTCAGTTTGAAATGAAATTCCCATGGATTGGAAGACTGTGATTTCCTGACTTCTTTGGTGTATTTTTTCCTAAAAAATAAGCAGTTTTCATACTCTTTTTCCACCTTTTTATAAAATGTCCATGTTACATGCTGTTTTATCATTTCTCATTTCCTACCGTCTTGCTGAGGTGGTTTGATTTCGATGTTAAAAATTATTTACCCCTAATAACTTTTCGATTTCTTATACTGTTAAGATAATGTTGTTAAATAGGAGAGATAAAAAATTCCAAGTCAAAAAGACGATGAAACCCCCACACTCAAAAACTAGGAGGGCGGAAGATTCCCTGTGACAGTGTAATCTCGTTCGGATCTCAGTGATACATCTGAGGGAGAGCAGGAACCAGTCCGTGTAAATAAAAATATAAAGATAAAATCCCCAGGAACAAACTCGATCAAACACTGTATAGTTTTAAAAGGATGTAATCTAGTACAAGACGCGTTTCGGGCTTAATAGCCCTTCATCAGTTGGTGTTACAAAACAATATAATAAAAATTAATCCAGATCTATGATGTATATATACAAATTTTAGCGCATGCGCCTTAAAATTAATTTGGATTAAATAATCCTTAGATTAAGATTATAATAAAATATGAAAAAATAATCCCTATACTGGGATTAAAAAAAAAAAAAGAGAGATAGAAATTTAATCCCTATACTGGGATTAATTATATTTTTTAAAAATAGGTGATTAAATTAAATTCTGCGGCCAATTGCTTCCATGATTCTTCAAATAGGTCTGGATCTTCTTGGATCTGATTCAATTCGAGAATTTTTTCTGTAGTATTTGTTGGTTCTATTTCTTTAGAGGTCCCGTCTGTTTCCGGGATGGAGAAGGAAAGGTGGTCAAAATTAATCGTGGGATAAGTTGAACGGCGGCGGGCCTCAAAAGGCGGGACCCATGTAGATGTTTTTTCCGGTATACAGGTGGGGGGTATTTTGACTGTCATCTTATTTTTACACGGAGATGCCTTCTTTTTCTTTAATTCTTCTTCTGGAATCTTGTTGTTCTTCTTCCATTTATTCGTAAGATAATTGAGCTTCTCTTCTTTGCTACTTAGGTGGTGAATATTTTTACGGTGTTTGTATAAATTGTGTCTTCTCGTGAAATCGGTGTTGCAAAGACTGCAATGAGCCGTTGCGTCCATCTTGGTAGACAAAAAGTTTTTAAAAAGAATGTTTGAAAAAATCGTTAAGCTAATTCGTTTAGTCCACCGGGGCTAGTTGTTGCTAGCAACGTTATGAAGCTTTCCTCATGACGTAATCGTTTGTTTAAATTGCGCGAAGTTTTTGAAAGGATTTTTATATTGATAGTATGATTATAAATATTAAAATGATTGCTTACGGGTGTATCTTTGAAATTTCGTATGTCGCTTAAATGATTATAAAATCTGCGTTTGCAGTTATCCGAGGTTTGGCCAATGTATTGTATCCCACATAAGTTGCAGGAAATAGCGTAAATTATATACGGGGTGTCGCATGTGAGATAGCTTTTAATAAAATATTTCTTTTTGTTAACAAGTGATTCAATTGATGAAGTGATAATTAAGTGTCGGCAAACGGAACAATTATTGCCGCATTTGTAACAACCATTTGGTTTAGGTAAAGAAATTGAAATATCGGAACGTATTAATAAATCTTTTAGGTTTTTGTTACGTCTAAAACATACTTTAAGAGGAGTATTTGAAATCGATCGGGTTTCAATGCTATTATCTAATATTGAAAATTCTCTACTGATGGTTTTTTTGAAATTGACATGGGGGATAAAGTTAGTTACGAACGTGAGTGATTTATCTATAATTTTATCCTTGTATTTAAGCAAATCGTCTCTATTGATTAGGCGGGCTTTATCAAAAGATCTGTTAATAAGTTGAATCGGATATCCTCTTTTTAGAAACTGGATCCGACAGTGTCTGAGGGAATGTTCTCTATTGGTGGTGTTGCTGGAAATTCGGCAAATTCGTAGAGCTTGACTTAAAGGTAGATTGAGTTTCTGATGTATGGGATGGCAACTTAGGTAGTGGAGATACAGGAAGCTATCCGTTGGTTTGGAATATAATTTAGTTTGAAGGTGTTTATCAGCGTCTTTATAAATGGTGACATCTAAAAAATTTATCTTGTTGAGGTCGTACTCGAGAGTGAGTTTGATCGAAGGTAGGAGATTGTTGACCTCCTCTATGAAGTCAGTAAGACTCTGTACATTAGAGGGCCACAGGAAAAAAATATCATCGATGTATCTGTACCATACAAGAGGTTTCATCGAGGTTTTTTCTAAAAAAGATTCTTCTAAGTCGCTCATAAAAATACAAGCTATGCTGGGGGCTGCTTTGGTACCCATACTGATTCCTTGGTTTTGTAAGTAGTATTTGTTGTTGAAAATAAAACAGTTTTTCTTCAGGATGAAATTTAGAAAACGTTTTGTGGATGGTTTTGTCATCTCGATTTTGTAAAGCTTTTTTACAGGTAGTCATGGCTAGATTATGCGGTATAGATGTGTAGAGACTGGTGACATCTGCCGTACATAAAATGGTTTCTTCATTAAGTTGCGGAATTTCTTGGATTTTACGTAAAAAATCAGTGGTATCTTGAATAAATGAGTCGGCTTTTTTGACTTCTTCCTTAAGGTGATAATCCAAAAATTGAGAAATTTTTTCCGTTGGTGAGTTAACTGCTGATACAATAGGTCGTCCTGGATTGTTTGGTTTATGGATTTTTGGCAGCATGTAAAACACTGGAGTTCTCGGATATTTGGTTTTTAGGTATTTTACGGTGTCCGGATCTAATAAATTATTTTTGCTAGTGTAGTTGAGAAATTTGGTAATTTCTTCGTTGAATTTTAAAGTTAAATTGGTTTTAAGGGGTTTATAGAATTCAAAATTATTGAGCTGGCGCAGTCCTTCTTCAATATAATCGCTTCTGTTAAGAATGACAATTTTGCCACCCTTATCTGCTTTTCTAATAATTATGTCTGTATTTTTTCCTAATTCTTTCACGGCTTGGATATAACTTGATTTAAAATTCTTTTTGGTATTTAATCTTCTAGGTGTGATTTCTTTGATTTTATGTTGGGTGATATGGATGAATTCTTCTAATGGTTGGCATCTGGTGTGCGGTGGCGTCCAACCGGTTGGTTTGGCAAATGGGCAAGGTACATAATTCTGGTTGTTAGGAGTGTTTCTATGGTAATGATTTAGGCGAATAGTTCTTTCGAAAATTTTTGCAATCAGTTAGGATGTTTAATTCTTCAGTTTTGGTGGATGTAGGTATAAAATTAAGACCAAAGGCTAAAGCTTCTAGGTGAATAGTTGACAATTTAAATTTAGATAGATTGATAATGATCTGGTCTAATTCTTCCTTATTCAGGCTTCTTTTCTGGAATCTTCTTGGCATTTTTTGGTCTTTTTTTGAAATCTTCCAATGCGTTGGATACTATGGAAAAGAGGAGTTCCTTGTTTTCCTCACTGGCGTCTATCTTGCGGATTTCTTCGGAGACTTCTTCTAACTCTTTTTGTATATTAATTTTATGGTTGTTCCAGTAGTCTAATAGGATGAGTGTGAGTTCTTTGCCAAAGTTTTGATGCGCCGCTTCCCAACGTATTTGGAAGCGACTCGGGAAATCCGGTGTTTGCGGTAAGGTTTTACTTTGATTTAATCCTTTAGGTACAAAATGTTTTTCTATGGATAAATTCAAAAAAGTAATGTGGTTATCACATTTGAATAAGTTGAATCGTAGTTTTCTGAAGACCCGTAGAGATGATGAATGTAAAAATTGTGTCCTGGTTACATACAGTTCCTTGTGCAGTTAATAATATATTGAATAAATATAAAAGTGTTCTTTTATAGCTTTTAAACTGAACAAGGCCACTCTATTTCGAATTTAAATGTACAAGTAATCTATATTTTAACATTTAAAAGCAAATGTAAGGCTAACTGGCATGAAACTTTTGTCCAGCATTGCAGATGAAATCATTCAATAACTGATTCTCCTCTTAAAAAGTTATCCAATTACCATAGCCAGGTTGTGACAAGGATCATTTTGCAGAAATCCAGACAATGTCCATTTGAAAAAAATGAATTCTAATTTTCTGTTTCACAGACAAAATTCTTTTACCAGTACTGTGGCCTTACATATATATTAGGTGGGAGCAGGGATGGGAAAAGATCTGATTTCTATTATTTTGGGTAAAAATCAGTTGTAACGTGTCCAGAGGGATATATTGTGATTATTGTACTAACAAAGAAGAAATGAAATGAAATGGGGTTTAACGTCCTACTGTTCTGCTCCGACTGGGCTACTGAAGACGGACTTACACCACACAGTGTGCATGAGGGAAATTTTGCCTGGACAACGGCGCTGCAGCCTACTCGTATATCGATTTCCAACGTCCAGGCTAGCAAGCCAGCGTCTTACTCACTTATCAACCTTGTTCGGAACAAATAAATTAGCCACGAAAATCTTGGACTGTTGGAGATACACATTTGATCCCACGCTTGAACGTGACTATGTACGGTTACCTGTCTAACCTTGTGGGTTTGCACTGGGTCCTCCCACAGCTAAAAATGCAAAATAAGATTCTACCATATGCCATAGATGTATGTTATTCCTGAAATGACCCAATTTGTGTAGTGGACATTAACGTCCTACTTTCCTGCTCCATCTCCAGGCTAATGAAGACAGCCAAATGTCATGCAAAGAGCTACGAGGAAACTTTTGCCCAGATAGCGGTGCTATGACCTACATGTATTTTTATATTTAACTTAAACTGTCAAGGAATCTTTAACATGCACACCAATTTATACACAGTACCTAGACATTGTATCTTGCCAGGCCCTTCGTCACGCACCATTGACATGTAGAAACCACACAGGAAAATCCTGGTTATAATTATGTACTGTATCTACCTTGACTATGGATAGGCCCACTTTCTGAATCTGTATGATGGCCTCGAATACTGAAACATCTAAATGTTCATCAGCACTGTCATAACATTGTCGTCAATAGTCTCTGGGGCTTGGACTTGAGTTTTATTTTTCTTCACAAGCATGTTTAAAAATGGTCTGCAGTGCAAAAGAAAAGAATTTTTCTTTAACATTTTTTACAATACAAGTCTCTTCAATTATTACTGCTTAAACCTGTAATCCTGGGTCTGGATACCAAACTAAACTAAGAGCATAATATAATTTTATACATGAACATCTTTTCTACAAAAGAAATATGAGAGATATCAATATAAACAGAATTTGACTCGCCCTCTTATTTTCTCTCTGATCTGTGAGTCCCTACTTTCTTCAGTACTTTTGAACCCTGTCTACGTAGGCCTATCCCATCTCGGGCAGTTTGCTGGGGTTTCTATGACAGAATCACAAATAAAATCCACAATATGAACAGCTTCTGATAAGACATATTATGTGACTGGCGATTGTCCTGTTGCTTCTAAAATTATATTGTTGAAAGGGTAGTACTCATCTGTAAAAAATGCACCAAAATTAATGGAATGAATCGTTATTGGGTTTGTATTATCAAAGCCATAAGCAATACACCTCTTGTCCGATCTTTTGGCGTCTGCCATTGTCTTCGGGATTCCCTTGTTTACGTCTGTAAATTGCACACTTGTGACGTCAACTGGTCAAAGGTCACGAGAGTTTCTACTCGACTTATCGCTTCAGGTGAGAATTTTAGTTTTCCGTCAATATCATGAGAACGAGTAATTGGATTTCGTTAAAACTTTCAGGAACATTTTATGGGGGCATTTCAGATATAATAATAATAAAATACGAGAGGTCTCAGGTTGATCTTTAAGGAGAGTGATTAGTTGTGTGTGTGAGAAATGGTTCTGAAGATCAACAACTGCATGTTAGGGGGTCATCTCTGGATTCATAAATGATAATAAACACCCGATGACTTTGTGAATGAGAGCGATTTCAATTTTAAGGAGAGGGAGAAAAAGCTCCCCTCGTTCGACATTCAGGCGAGCGGCATGTGTCTGAGAGTGATTGCTCGCCTTAAAAAACAATGACTGGAATATTGAAGTTTGTCTACTTTCAGGTGTAATATATTTGGTGTACATGAACCTGTATTAAGTAATGTAGCAGTATATAGTAATAGTTTAACTGGTGCTGATAGATTGAAAGATGCAGAGAAAGATGAAAAAGAACCTACTGCTCCCTCCCCCTCTCACCCACCTCCATCAGTTCCTCCACCCCTTTCCCAACCTTCTCCTGAACCACCAGTTCAAAAGCCTAAACCAAAGGTATGTGACTGTTTTGTTTGTTAAAATTATTGAGAAACAAATCAGTTTGCATATAACTGCTATTAGCTGACAGTTTTCTTAGTGATCTCAGATATATGCTGGTCATGACATCTTGAATAAAAAATTGACGAAAATGTTGGGAACATGGGTCGTTAAAAATTTTGATAATAAAATAATAGACACCTTACTATATTTAAAATGACATGAAATTGTCATATGGCGCCATATTGAGCAAGCTGGGTTTTTCCAAATTTAAAGGGGAAGACCAACGATTTTCAACAAGGTTTCCATAAACCTTAAATATATATTGATAAATAATCCCCTCTGTAGCACAAGCAAAAAAGTTTTTGTAAGTGAGAAATTAATTTTTATTAAAACAGGAAGTGACATAGTTGGTTCAACACGCTCAGCGGTCTCTATAGTAAGCATACAGATTTGGCATAAGTTTACAGCTGTATTGTGTTCATGCGTCGTCCTTTGGCCAAAAATCTGATGAAATGGGCTGTTTATTTGGATATTATAAACACAAATTTATGGTTTTTTTAACGTTTAGTACACTAAGCTGCCGCGTAAATTCACTCATACTGAACAGTACGCTGTGCCTCAATTCACGCCACATGGCTTATTGTTTACATCACGTGGTTTGATTGACAACTTGCCAGTGGCATGTATTTCGTCTGCTTCGATGTTTATGTGCTTGCTGACAGCTTTTTCCAACATAAACAGATCAAAATTATGGGCATGTAAGACATATAATATAGTGCATTTTGGCACATAATGTCGACGTGAACGGCTTTTCCTTTTTTCTTCCATTTCCTCTTGAGAATGGCTGGGGTCGAATGTTTATACGGCATTACTGTAGACCCATAGAACAGATATTTTATATTCCAATACGTTGGTGTTTGATGTTGACATACTTTGGAAATTTATATATTTATTTGAATATATATGTGCCACAAGTTCGTTGAAATAAATAAAAACAATGTAAGCAGACTCAGCACGCGCAAAAACATTCAAGCAGACGAAACATCTCTCACTTGCATGCTGTCAATCAAACCACATGATGTAAACAATTAGCCATGTGGCGTGAATTGAGGCACAGCGTACTGTTCAGTATGAGTAAATTTCCGCGACGGCTTTGTGTACTAAACGTTAAAAAAACACAAATTCGTGTTTATAATATCCTAATAAACAACCCATTTGATCAGATTTTTGGCCAAAGGACGACGCGTGAACACAATACAGCAGTAAACTTGTGCCAAATCTGTGTGCTTACTATAGAGACCAGTGAACGTGTTGAACCAACTACATGTATGTCACTTCCGGTTTAATAAAAATTAATTTCTCGCTTACAAAAAACTTTTTTGCTTGTGTTACAGAGGGGATTATTTATCAATATATATTTAAGGTTTATGGAAACCTTGTTGAAAATCGTTGGTCTTCCCCTTTAAGATCTAATATGATGGGAAATAAAATTACTCATTCCCCCATTCCAAGAATAAAAAAAAGCTTAATTCATTTGCATCTATTTTGAAGTAATGAATTTTTGAATATCTTGTATCGTATGATAAATTACATGACCTAGCAATATTTTCATTATACTTTCATTATATTTTCATATCGGACCGTAACTTCCTGAATTATGGCCCCTGATTGTATGAAAAATCACTTTCTTTTTAGCTTCTTCTCTATCCATCTCTTGAAAATGTGGGCGTATCCTGCCTGGCAGCCGCTGGTTTAATTTATGTTTGAATTTTTATATCGTTCAATATTTCAATATTCTGTTATCCCATAATATCAATCAGCCTGAGAGATAAGAAAGAATGAAAGAGGGAGATTGAAATGACTATAACCAAGACATTTGTTTACGTTATTTATTCTGAAAGATTATTTTTGCTTTCTTAAAACATATTTGGAGATTCAAGTTATAAATCTGTAAAAAAAAATGACAAATTATGTTTTGTTGGTAAATGTGTAAACATGGTGCAAATTGATACATTGTATAGGTTACCATGTCCAATTTCAAGCCAATTCGCCTAACCCATTTTACCTTTATTCATACCCTGTATAGAAGCCATATTATCTAATGATTGGGGTTATATTATAGAGTATAAATAACTGTCAACACAATCTGATTAAAACACAGATCCTATTTGGTTTCGATTTTTATAGTTCAAAATTTCGTTTTACTTGTCTTCACAACACTAGGATCTGGAAGAGTTGTTATATAAGCTGCATTTTGGTTATTGTGAGGAATTAGCCAATGAAACGGTCTGTTATGATGAGTTGTTGACGTGCGATGCACGGAACTGTGGGTAAACCACTGGAAACGTCAATGCTGGTTGATTAATCAATGTCTGATGTCATAGGGTCAAAAACCGCTCGTATGACCTCTGACACGACCTCCCACTACAACCGGTCAGATGTTCATGTAGTGTAGACTATCGAAAATGTAAAAAAAACGAATCGAAATATAGATCTGTATTTTAATCATATTGCTGTCAAAGAATTATATTTAGTGTTTTGTTGATAATTAATGATGAATGTCTGGTAGTAGAACAATAAGAGTTAATTGTTATGTGGGAATCTGATCAATGATCAGAGGAATAATGGACTCTCTCTCTCTCTCTCTCTCTCTCAATGACCAGAAGAGGTCCTTTGTTCATCATGCTCTATTTTTAGCACCCACATTTCTAGAACAGAGCAGCTATGCTCTTTGTGTCTTTTTCCAGATCAGAAAAGCAACAAAAACACTGCTGTTTGTGAAAATGTCATTTGATAAAATGACGGTCATTTATTAAATAACAAAATTAGGATGATACAAGTGAAATTCCCAAATTAATGGAAAATAGCAAAAGATTATGGGAAATAATACTGAATGAGTGTTGGGCTTAACGAAACGATCATGAAATGGCCCAATATAGTAATGATGAATAAGATTATAGTATACATGGCAATAGAATGATGAATAACATTATACATGGCAATACAAAATAACAATGAACTGGGCATAGAATACATGGATATACAAAATAACAATAAAATGGGCAATGGTATACATGGTAATACAAGATAACAATAAAATGGACAAATAAGCAGCATTAAAATATAAACCAACATAAACCAACATGTCTTTGCATTGCGTGTTTCAAAATGGCGTTGCCGTTCACTTTGGCATCATCGTAAAAAATTATGGAAAAAGCGGAGGTGGAAGGGGTGACGTTAAGACCCCTTAAGGTAGTGCTTTTGGGATCCTCGTATGTCCAGCATATGAGGTCACAATTTTTACCCGATTTTGTTGAAACTTGAAATGTAAGTTTATAACTCAAAGATCTTGGTCCCTTTCGATATTTGCGCATATCAAATTGTAATTTCCTGAATTATGGCCCTTGATTGTAGGAAAAATCACTTTCGTTTTAGCTTGTTTTCTATCCATCTCTCGAAAATGTGGGCGTATCCTGCCTGGCAGCCGCTGGTAATTAATTCTTTCATCGAAGTGAAATTTTAATTGAAATATCCTTCTTATGTTTGATGTATCTTGATGATTTATTCCAATGCATTATGACAATGATTGTTCCTGTATGATAATTATAATAAAGCTTTTAATGAGCAGTAACAGGATAGATTTTGTGGTAACAGTAAAGAACAAAAAAGTAACAGTATAGAACAATGCTACTGAATTGTTTACCATTAACATATAAAAACATGAAAGATGAGAAATGATAGGCACTGTTATATTAGTCAATATTGAAATGAAAAAGAAATCTAAAACCGTTCTTAGTTGTTTACAACATGAGTAATGTAATGAAATTCTTTGCTCCAGTAACATGAAAGAAAACATAGTAACAGGAAATCTGTTTATCTTCATCTACTCTCTGTTCATCTTCTTCATCTACTCTCTGTTCATCTTCATCTACTCTCTGTTCATCTTCATCTACTCTCTGTTCATCTTCATCTACTCTCTGTTCTTTTTCATCTACTTTCTGTTCATCTTCATCTACTCTCTCTGTTCATCTTATTTTACTCTCTGTTCATCTTCTTCATGTACTCTCTGTTCATCTTCATCTACTCTCTGTTCATCTTCTTCATCCACTCTCCGTTCATCTTCTTCATCTACTCTCTGTTCATCTTATCTTCTCTCTTTTCATCTTCATTTACTCTCTATTCATCTTCATCTACTCTCTGTTCATCTTCTTTATTTATTGGACTCATGTCTGTCCTGGGGGAAGTCCACATGACCTCTATAGGGTCCACATGACCTCTATAGCTAAAAACAGAATTTTTCGTGCAATCAGGGGCCATAATTCAGAAAGTTACGGTCCGATATGCGCGAATATCGAAAAGAACCGAGATCTTTGGGTTATAAACTTATATTTCAAGTTTTAACAAAATCAGATAAAAATTGTGACCTCCATAGGATCCACAACCTTGATATACCGTATTTTTACGCTATTTGAGAACTAACGGCGGCCATTTTATCTGTCAATTTTGGGCCGATTTTCACGAAATTCGAACTCAGTCGTCCTTAGGGTGTTACGGTGATATAATCAGGGGCCATAATTCAGGAAGTTACGGTCCGATATGCGCGAATATCGAAAGTAACCGAGATCTTTGGGTTATAAACTTACATTTCAAGTTTCAACAAAATCGGATAAAAATTGTGACCTCTATAGTATAGGGTCCACAACCTTGATATACCATATTTTTACGCTATTTGAGAACGAAAGGCGGCCATTTTGTCTGTCAATTTTGGGCCGATTTTCACGAAATCCAGACTCAACTGTCTTTAGGGTGTAACAGTGATATAATAATACGTTTTTTTAAATCGGATAAAAATTATGACCTCTATAGAGTCCACAAGCTAAAAACGCGGTTTTTTGTACAATCAGGGGCCATAATTCAAGAAGTTACGGTCCGATATGCATGAATATCGAAAGGAACAAAGATCTTATAAACTTACATTTCAAGTTTCAACAAAATTGGATAAAAATTGTGACTTCTATAGGGTCCACAACCTTGATATACCGTATTGTTACGCTATTTGAGAACGAACGGCGGCCATTTTGTCTGTCAATTTGGGGCCGATTTTCACGAAATTTGAACTAAGCCGTCCTTAGGGTGTAACGGTGATATAATGATACGTTTTTTTTTAAATCAGATAAAAATTTTGACCTCTATAGGGTCCACAAGCTAAAAACGTGATTTTTCGTACAACCAGGGGCCATAATTCAGGAAGTTACGGTCCGATATGCGCGAATATCGGAAGGAACCAAGATCTTTGGGTTATAAACTTACATTTCAAGTTTCAACAAAATCGGATTAAAATTGTGACCTCCATAGGGTCCACAACCTTGAAATACCATATTTTTACGCTATTTGAGAACGAAGGACGGCCATTTTGTCTGTCAGTTTTTGGCCGATTTTCACGAAATTCGAACTCAGTCATCCTTAGGGTGTTACAGTGATATAATAATACGTTTTTTTAAATCGGATAAAAATTATGATTTCTATAGGGTCCACAAGCTAAAAACGTGATTTTTCGTACAATCAGGGGCCATAATTCAGGAAGTTATGGTCCGATATGCGCGAATATCGAAAGGAACAGAAATCTTTGGGTTATAAACTTACATTTCAAGTTTCAACAAAATCGGATAAAAATTGTGATCTCTATAGGGTCCACAACCTTGATATACCATATTCTTACGCTATTTGAGAACGGCGGCCATTTTGTCTGTCAATTTTGGGCCGATTTTCACGAAATTCAAACTCAGTCACCCTTAGGGTGTAACGGTGATATAATAACACGGGTTTTTAATCGAATAAAAAATATGACTTCTATAGGGTCCACAAGCTAAAAACACGATTTTTCGTACAACCAGGGGCCATAATTCAGGAAGTTACGGTCCGATATGCGCGAATATCAGAAGGAACCAAGATCTTTGGGTTATAAACTTACATTTCAAGTTTCAACAAAATCGGATTAAAATTGTGACCTCCATAGGGTCCACAACCTTGAAATACCATATTTTTAAGCTATTTGAGAACGAAGGACGGCCATTTTGTCTGTCAGTTTTTGGCCGATTTTCACGAAATTCGAACTCAGTCATCCTTAGGGTGTTACAGTGATATAATAATACGTTTTTTTAAATCGGATAAAAATTATGATTTCTATAGGGTCCACAAGCTAAAAACGTGATTTTTCGTACAATCAGGGGCCATAATTCAGGAAGTTATGGTCCGATATGCGCGAATATCGAAAGGAACAGAAATCTTTGGGTTATAAACTTACATTTCAAGTTTCAACAAAATCGGATAAAAATTGTGATCTCTATAGGGTCCACAACCTTGATATACCATATTCTTACGCTATTTGAGAACGGCGGCCATTTTGTCTGTCAATTTTGGGCCGATTTTCACGAAATTCAAACTCAGTCACCCTTAGGGTGTAACGGTGATATAATAACACGGGTTTTTAATCGAATAAAAAATATGACTTCTATAGGGTCCACAAGCTAAAAACACGATTTTTCGTACAACCAGGGGCCATAATTCAGGAAGTTACGGTCCGATATGCGCGAATATCAGAAGGAACCAAGATCTTTGGGTTATAAACTTACATTTCAAGTTTCAACAAAATCGGATTAAAATTGTGACCTCCATAGGGTCCACAACCTTGAAATACCATATTTTTAAGCTTTTTGAGAACGAAGGACGGCCATTTTGTCTGTCAGTTTTTGGCCGATTTTCACGAAATTCGAAGTCAGTCATCCTTAGGGTGTTACAGTGATATAATAATACGTTTTTTTAAATCACGAAATTCGAACTCAGTCATCCTTAGGGTGTCAATTTTGGGCCGATTTTCACGAAATTCAAACTCAGTCACCCTTAGGGTGTAACGGTGATATAATAACACAGGTTTTTAAATAAGATTAAAAATATGACTTCTATAGGGTCCACAAGGTAAAAACGCGATTTTTCGTACAATCAGGAGCCATAATTCAGGAAGTTATGGTCCGATATGCGCGAATATCGAAAGGAATTGAGATCTTTAAGTTATAAACTTACATTTCAAGTTTCAACAAAATCGGATAAAAATTGTGACCTATATGGTCCACAAGGTAAAAACGTGATTCTTCGTACAAACAGGGGCCATAATCCATGAAGTTTCGATCTTGCCAATATCGAAAGCAGCCGAGATCTTTTGGAGATAAACCTATATTTCAATTTTCGTCAAAATCGGATAAGAATTGTGACCTGTAGAGTGTCCACAAACAAATTGTGGATGGACGTCCAGACGTCCGGCGGGACAGGGGCGACGGCATAATACGTCCACATGATAATGTGGGCGTATAAAAATCGGCCCAAAACTGACAGACAAAATGGCCGCCCCACGTTCTCAAATAGCGTAAAAATATGGTATAGCAAGGTTGTGGACCCTATAGAGGTCACAATTTTTATCCGATTTTGTTGAACCTTGAAATGTAAGTTTATAACCCAAAGATCTCTGTTCCATTCGATATTTGCGCATATCGAATTGTAATTTCCTGAATTATGGCCCTTGATTGTAGGAAAAATCACTTTCTCTTTAGCTTGTTCTCTATCCATCTCTCGAAAATGTGGGCGTATCCTGCCTGGCAGCCGCTGGTTATCTATCACGTAACTTACAAAGTTTTTATTCATTTGTGGATGAAAGACAAGCGACACCCATAATTGAAATTGCTTTATATAAAATAAAATTCCGTACGACTATGCCATGGCCTTAAATAAAAAGGGCAATATTTTTAAGAATAAGTCCCTGTCAGCATGTGTATAAAATAAAAATGAATAAAACTAAAACACTACTTAAAACTAAATCTAGCAATGGTGGTTTATTGACCTAATTCCAACCAATGCATGTCATGTGTTATCGGGAATCTGAAAGCATTGAAGATCTTGACGGAAAAATATTACTAATATCTGTTTCTCAGGATATCCGGTGTTCTATCAGGGATTATTCAATGAATATTTAAATTTATCTAAGAACGGGTCAGTGAAACCGTTAAATGCATTATCTAATTATTATTTTCATATCTACCTAGAATTCATACGGATTGAGAGTCGAAGACGGGGCGCGAAGCATGAGATTCACAATCCATGCGGAGTAAGATGTCTTCCTTCGCCACATGGTTTATTATTATTACAAAGGAAACTTACTGGACCTGTTATGAATAACCAGCAAGCTTGGGTTTTTTTTGCGGAATTATCAAAATTACTGTTAAATGTGCAAATTACTCAGATTATATATGAACCGGATGGCCGATTCTCACTAAGGTCTGACTGTTATTGTAGCCAACAGGCAAGTTGATTGTCGATATGATATGGACAGTATTTTTCGTTACCAGTATATTTTTCCTGATTATTTTCATTGAGGGGAGTCAAATTAGACATTGAGGAGAGCTATAAAAAGCGCACCTCGACTGACATCCAGGAGAGCGAGAGCGATCGCACTCCTTTTATGTGAAGGCCTGGATTTTAAGATACAAATGTTAATTTTAGTGTACAAATGCCGAAATATGACAACACAGGACTATGAATTAAGAACTAAGAATTAATAACAATGAATAAAGAGCTGTTTGGTTTTCCATATAAAACAGATAAATGTGAGAAATGTTGTGGATAATTATAATATATATTTACAGTGGACTCTGTCAAATCCGACATCGTACACGATCGTTACAAAATGTCGGATTATACAGAGTGTCGGAATACCCAGTTTTCTCAAAACCGGAAATATTGTAACTTCAAAAAACGGAAGTATTATTATAAGGTAGCTTCGAATCACCAGAATGTTATTCCCTTTAAAAATGATAAACCTTTCTGTACATTCAAAATTTTATTACATTAATTTTTATTTTATTTAATTTAACATGTGTAGGCATTTTGAATAGGTCAAGTCTGTCGTTAATTTATCTTCTTCACCGTCTTCAGTTGATCGCACTCTTGTCTTTGCTATCATGTGTTCATTGATAATGGGCGTACTCGATTGAACGTTCCGTAATTGAATTCTCTCAATCCCAAAAATAGTGACAATCGAGTGAAAATGGGCACTTCGGGCTACAACGCATGCGTCGACTGGATATCTCATCCAACCATGCAGCCGAATCCCGTTCGTCGTGTTTAATTACGTCACAATTCTACTCACACCACCTGCGTCGTCGGGACTGACAGAACTGTGACAGGACTGAATTACGCGTCACTGGATTTCAATTCTGTCAGGACTGTGAATCGAGCATCCCCATATCATCGTCACATGGTTTGAAAAGATCCGTAGTGTGACCAAACTTATAGGTTATTCAGGTTCAATCGGCATGCACAACGAATGTTTCCAACAGGTGCTAGGAATTTTTACGACTGTGAATTTTGGGGAAAATTTGTGAAAATTCTTGAGTGTTTGTCACAACTGTCGTACAAGAGATTAAAATAGTCAAAGTAATCAGCAAAGACCCACGGTAGCGAGTCATAATTGATTGGTGATTGCTTGTTAATCTTCTGTGGCTTCACGCCCATCAAGTTTTAATCTCACCGATAATTGATTGGTAAGTGTTTGCTTCACACCTATTGAAGGCCGGATTATACGGTGTCGATTCAATGGAAATCATATGACGGGACGGCTGATTGATGTCGTAATTCGGAATATTCAGAGGTCGAATTACCCAGAGATTTATGGGCTGCAGTAAGAAGGAAATAAATCGGGACATGAAAATGGTGTCTGATTTCACAGAGTGCTGGAAGTGATCAGAGGTTGGGTGTGACAGAGTGCACTGTATCTTATTTGTGCAAATTCTACTATGAGCCCAAATTCTTCTATAAACTTGCTGTGCATAATTTGTTAACAATGATTTTAGAACATGGATGTTGGCAATGATTTTGTCACTGGTTGTCCCCCATCTGTATTTAAATATAATACAAATTGAGAAATGTGGTGTATAAATAATAGTATTATTTTAATTTCAGCCAACTATAAAGAAAACTCATGCATTGCGAAGGTTAGAACAGTATTATAGAGAATATGTTAAAGAGGAAAAAGAAAAGGAAACCAGAGCAGAAAATATATTTAGGTAAAGTATATAAATGTGATGATCTCTGTACTACTGTCTGAGCCATAATAAAAACCAGCGGCTGCCAGGCAGGATACACCCACATTTTGCAAGAGATGGATAGAGAAAAAGCTAAACAAAAAGCGATTTTTCATACAATCAAGGGAAGAGCTGGGCAATATTTTGATACCGTCAAAAATACCGTCTTCAGAAAAATATAAAAAACCTGAACATATTGATTTTTTTGGATGATATTTAACATAAATATTTAAAAAATGTCTTACTTTTTATGTTAATTACAATATTTTTGTCCCCCCCTTTCAAAGAAAGCAGGGGACTATTAAAATGGGTTCATAAATGCCTTGATGTAGTTCGAAGATGAGCATTCTCTGCTCAGGGTATGCAAAGTGATAAGCAATTTGATTGGTTGAGACTTTGGAACTCAATAACTCTCCTTCTAATTGAGCTAGAATGTTCAAACTTGGTGCAGGTGTTTATTAGGCCAATGCCTCGGTGCAGTTTGAAGATGAGCATTTTCTGCTTAGGGCATGTTTTATTATAAAGTGTACCAGTGGGTATCTAACAAATGTAATGGTTTTATTAGAAAAGAGAAAAAGAGTTTTTAAATATTTTTCTTATCTTCAAAATCAGCATATATTGAACATATAAAATATATACTTAATACCAGGTTTATTGATGTATTTTTTTATTAAAATAAGTTACAAATATTTGAATGAATTACATCATTTAAGACATACATTTTTCCCATCATTTTTTATCAAGATTTTAGAATACATTGAAATAACATTTGTTTTAAAATTTCTAATTTATTTTTGTATATTTATAATGGCAAGTGTGTCTTCTTTAAAACAGACTTAAAAATATACTGATGAGAAAAATAACAAGTTCCGAAAATTGAATTGTTCAAACCCCAGTGAAAATTTGACTAGTCTGTCCATCCACTACATTATTGAAGTGGTCTTACATTTGTTTTGTAAACTTTGTATTTTTATGTCACGTGGAAATATATTTGTCCCTTTGTGGAATGGCTGTTTAAGTATATGCCATTTTAAAAAAAGCAGGAAAATCAATTTCCATGCTTATATATTGCTAACGTTTAGTCCAATTGATGTCTGTCCAGTTTTAGCGAAACGTTAGCATTATTTTAATATTTCTTTTCGGCTTCATATTACGTGTTAGGATTTGAATAACCACTGCAAACGAAGCGTGAGCGTAGTCTCGATCTTCCACACAGGATACAGATAATTTATAATAATAAAAATATCTTTATTTTCAAAGGTGAAAAATTAGGCTTAAAGCCTGTTTACAATTTTGCCCTTTATAACTTCAAAACTAAAAGTAATATGATAGATAATAATAATGTAGTAAGTAGTTGATATATTAAATATAGGCTACAGGTTAAGAAGACGAAATAACATGCCTAGTGATATTTTTCTTAAATAAATGACGATTTTTAATATTTTTAAGTGAATATGGGAGAGAATTCCAAAGCACTGTGCCTCTATATTGTAAACTACATTTAAATATTTCATTATTAGGTCTACAGATAGAAAGTCTATTATTGAGAGATGAATATGGAGTGGTGTTATAATGAAAAATATTATATAAATATGATGGACAAAGTTTATGGATAATTTATAAACAAAAACATATTTGTTAATTAAAAGTCTTTGATAAATAGTTTGAAGATTTAAGGATGAAGATAAAAATTGATAATTAGATGAAAAGGAATGATCAGAGATAGGTCTATTGTAAATTAATTTAAAGGATAATTTTTGAAGTTTCTCAAGTTTAGATATAGATGTATTTGAACAAGAGTCCCAAATAGTATTAGTGGAGCAATAATTACTATGAGATTGAATGTAAGCAAAATAGAACAATTTAAGTACTTCAGTAGGAAGCAACTGTTTTAATTTGAGTAATTGAAAATTTTTCTGTTGAAGAAGCTTAGATAAATGATCACGAATTATTACATATTCGTGATCAAGGCAATAAGAGAGAGAGGGTGAGAAATGGGGTTTAAGGTCGACTCGACACAAACTAGGTCATTTCGGGACTAACATATGGTTTAATTTCTTTATTTCAATAATTCGCTTACGCTTAGGGGTCTTAGGAGGATCCGGAGAAAACCCATGCATTTTGCCACCTGGTGGCCCAAAAAGTTTGAATCGCACATTAAGTGTGATGCTAAATTTGTAATCTACACCAAAAGTAGTCTTAGATTACAAAGTTAGAGAGTTGTACTCCAATTACAAATGTGATTTTAAAGCAATTGAAAATCCGAGAAAAAAATTTCAATTTATAGTCCGTTTCAGTACCCTAATTTCAAATGGCCATATCTCCGTGAGTTTTTCATCTAGAGAGGTAAAATTTTCGGATTTGTTAGGTTAAGACTATATACTATAACATATATTTTTTATAATTTTTTTGGAAGGTGTCATGTTCCCAACTTTCCGAAATTTGGTCCAGTCGACATGGAATGACCCATTTGACTTGTCTCTGTGATATTGATATATATATGAAAATAAAGTGTATTTGCGTACATTTGTATGTGGTAAGATAATATGGGTCCTATATGGGGACCTTGTGGTATCACCTGGGCCCACAGCCCATTTTTTCCTCATATGGTCCCAATGTTGCAATTTCTATCGGGAAAGTGGAATGTAATTGCATGGTTTTTCTTGGATCTTCCGGAACTTTCTCAAGTATAGCTTGCCCACAGTTTGTGAAGCAGACCCAACTATGCTATCTTTTGCTAAAATTACAATTTTTTCACCCACCATGTTATCAAAAAACTTTGTTGTTAAAGTTTTTCATCTTTTCATGACTTAAATGTTGTTTGTCAAAGGGATACTCAATCTCTTCATTAACTTTCAACAATCTTGATTTAAGAATGTTGATATCATTACATTTTTCTTCTTCAGATATATAATTGCCTTCTCTTAATCTATTCAATAGCTCAGCAAAGGCTTTGCTGTCTTTTTGCCTCATAATTTCTGTAAGTTCATACATGCAAACATTATTTTTCCATATATTACTCGGTAGTGGCCCATGGGTACTATTGAGATTTTCAAATATATAGCTATCAAGTACTGGTTTCAACTGAAAAAGATCTCCAACACAGATAACATGACATCCACCGAATAACAGTGGACTGCCTTTGATATCTTGAAATATTGACAACAATTCATCATTCCACTTCCTACCATGGATATCTCATCAATAAAAACAACTTTAAAACCCCCAAGGCTACTTCTTAGCGTATTTAATCTGCTACTATCTAAGCTTTTATATTGCAATGACTGGCACACAGGGATCTTAAGCGCGCTGTGGAGAGTACTACCCATGATGTTGTAAGCGGCCTTGCCCGTCGGAGCCTATAATATTTGCTTAATAGTTTCAAAATCATCACCTGCTTTAGTTTTGTAATACCTCAACAAACTTTGATACAAACCTGATAGGAAACTTTTGCCTACACCAGCTCCGCCACTCATGAATCTGAAAACCTGATTCTGTGACAGTTTTATTTGATTCAAGGTATCATATACAAAATACAGCTGTTTCTGATTCAATGACCTCATCAGCGATCTATAATATTCATCAGGCATTTCATACAATGCCACCTGTTCAACATTGCTTTCAGTGGGAAGTCCCAAATCCATACCAATATCATACTCATATTTGATAGCCTTACCACATTTAAAATCTGTCTTTATATCTAACATTTCTTCTATTTCATCTTCCTTTTCTGGCCTTCAGCAAGAATAGCTGCATCTACAGCATTCCAACCAAATCCATACCAATATCACTCATATTTGGTAGGCTTACCACATTTAGAATCTGTCTTTATACATGTATATAACATTTCTTCTATTTCATTTTCCTTTTCAACTTGCTGGGTAACAGGTGCCTGTTGATCCCAGACATCTTCCAAATTCTGGCCTTCAGCAAGAATAGCTGCATCTACAGCATTCCTATTTGCATCATATTACTTAATTTGCTCAACTATTTGATCTTTCATATGTTCATATCTGCTCTGGAAGGAATCAAATCCTCCCAATAAATCAACTTCTTCATCCCTCCAGTTGGAATACAACATTAAAATTGACATACCTAATGACTCTTGCCACTGCCCTTTTCTTTATCGTAGTTTTTTTTTTATTCTTTTCTTCGCTTGATAAGATCTCTCTCTCAAGTCGTCATATTCCCAATCAGAGTTGTGCTCTATTTGGTCTTCAACTAATGTCTGGTTGTTTTCTACTTGCTTGGATCGTTTAATATAGGTATTTTTTCTATCATACCAAGCAATAAAATCAGCTAGACTTACATTTTCTAACTGCTTTGAACGGTTCTTATACCTGTGTAGATAATTACTGGATTGGATATTTTCATCTTCATCATCAATCAAGGCCATCCAGTTGATCTTGCGATTTCAACAGATATACCCTTGTTTAGTGAAAGAGTTTTTAACAATAATGCATTTTGTACTGTAATTGTTAGTGATCCAGTACTTAAATTCTTAATGATGAGCAGTTTGTTATTCATGCTACAAAATTATTATATTTAAATCAATTTTATGTCTCTGTGATTAGAAGGATCTAAGTTTGATTGGAAGGAGATATGATTATCAATTATTATTGACTTGTGTGTTCTTACCTCAAGTAGAGGATTTAATTTATTTTACAGGAAATCAATGAAATTATTTTCACATTCAGCCAAAACATATTGGACAAAATATTCTGTTTATTTATTAATTTTTATTAAACTTATCTAGTAATCACACACATAAATAGTTTTTCTTTTTTGAATTAGAATGAATGAAAGTTCAGGAATTGATGTACTGTGTAATAAATTACAAATAGGCCGGCTTATTAGTTCCCATGAACGAACATTGGAAAATTAAGTCTCATGTCTTTGGAAGTTAATTAATCAAAGTCTTTCTTATGTCATCTAGGCCTAAGCTGCCATTTGCCAGAGTTCTTGGTCTCTTCTGTTATTTT